CTGGGGAGGTGATGGGGCAGTGAATGAGGCACATCAAAACTGTCGCTACAAGAACATGTCAGCGACTATGGATCTTGAAATCTTTGAAGAGTCTGAGAGTGTGCACTCTGGCAAGATTGGTGGCAGAATCAGACGAGAAGTTCAGAGGCCTAACTCAATAACTTTCATTATTTTCTATGCTTTTGACAAGCAGCACAGCGAGTTTCCCATTAGGGAATGAGGATTTATTGATTGTTTGACACCTAACACAACTCATTAATATTCAGTTTCCTATCTTATGAAATGCATCAAACCAGCTTGGCATCCAGAAAACCCAACAAAGTAAGCAAAGAGTGAGCTTCTGATGAATACAACTCACCGCTTGCTCCAAAGGACCTCCATTTTGGACACCAGGCGCCAAATCTCGGGGCATGCTCCCAGGCGCCAAATCTCGGGGCATGCTCCATGAACTCCAACCACACACTGCATGTAAACAGTCATTGGCATCCAATAGGTGCCAGCCTCTAGGAACTCAAACGACACATCTCTGGTCCACTTACAGGACTCTTCAATGCTGCACCATGTGCTACACCAAGAACTATCATTGCATTGCTGCAGCAAGGACAACTGTGCTCAGGGACATGTACCCTGGCTCATGTTCTGGACCATGTTGTATCTGTCATCTTTTTGCTTACAACACTCACTTACTCTGAGCCTACCTGAGTACCTGCATCATCCCTGCCTTACCTTTGCGTGCTTTGCCCCCTCAGCCAGAGCTATCACACTCATATTACTCCTGTCTTGCCTTGGTAGTTAGTGCAGGCACATAGGCAGGAAGTTTGTCATGGTTGTTAGCAGATCTCAGTCACATCAAGAGAGTTAGCCTTTTCTCAGCATGTTCTGGCACAGTAAGTCAAACAGATGGCTTTGATACCAGTTCAGGGGTTTTAACACAAACAGTCAGCCACTTCAGATGGTCAGAGTTAGGATCCTATCCGCATAACGGGTGAGGAGTTGAAAGTCAGGCAGCCTACCAATATTCTTTTCTGTTTCTGCCCTCTTGTAGGCTGTTTCCTCCTGGAATGAGAGGCAGGTATTAAAAGAGGTAACAGTGGATGGCATTGCTGATATTGTTGCTGCAGGTGTCCCAAGCAAGTGAGTAGGCAGCACAGAGGACATGCAGGGTTAGTGGTGTCAGGGGTTGGACTGAGTGAGTGCAAGTGAGGGAACAAATTGTAGGCAGTAGTGAGAGCGCCAGAGCATGAGCCATGGTAGGAGGTAGCTATAGTGGCAGAGAGAGAGTGAGTTTGAGGTATTGGGGAGAAGATATACTGGCGGTGTGGAGAAAGTCCATGCTGGCACATCTTCCTCCAGTGGTCCTGGCAGATAAGGAAGCCCTGTGTCTGCACCATTCCCAATCAGCAGGGCCAAACGGAAAGCAGGCTGCCAAATTCTTCCTGATGGCATTTCCTGGGCAAATGTGCTGGACTTCTGTAGAATGAAAAATGAATGGTACTCTACACAGTTGTGTATTGGCTCACTCTTAACGACACGATCCATAGGGGATCTCGACTCAAGAACCTAGGCACATTTACTGAAATTTAATGAGATTGAATTGGCAAATTCTGATAGTCTGGAAACTAGCAGGCTGAGCACAAAAGTGACATAAATATCTATGTAGACAAACGAAGAAATGTTTCCATAATAAGATTATTTCTTATATGGTAATATCTTAAATGACATAGAGGAGCTCAGAGACTCCAAGTACAGATGCACATTGTATCATTTAATTAGATGAGGTGCTGACATACCTATGCCAACTGTGACAGAATTAAGCTCCTGGCAGGAAGGCCCATATTTGCCCATCTTGCCAGGCCAATAATTCCTATGTGGCAAATTTTAAAAAAGGACATTTGAGAGTCTCAGGCTGATGCTACTGGAATTAAGCCAGCTGCAATTTGTCTGTTGCTGAGCGGTGTTTATGATAGCTGCTACCATGCAGTCAGCTTGTCATCTTGGAGGGGTTGGGAAGACTCAAAAGCCCAATCAAGACACGGGACATTAGGCAGGTGTCCATTGGGAAACACCCTTCTGATCTTTGCTTCTCATTCGCTGATACACTCCTGTACTCCTCCTGCCATGACTCCTGGCATGAGGGACAACCCTTCACATTATTTACTTTTTTTCCTATGTCTTCCCTTGTCCCGAGACTCTGAGGATACTCTTTCTTCAGCAGCAATGGCATCCTCAGTGACATTGCTGAGCATAAGAGCTGTTGGTTAGTGGCTCTCATTGAGGGGGTCCTCTGCCCCAGGAGATTAGATTTTAGGGGAAGGCTATTCACAGGCCTAGCTGATGCTTGATCAACATGTGGCTTGGTGGGTCTTCCCTGGGAGAGGCAATGCAGGTCTCTTGCAGCTCTCAAACTTGCAGGTGTGACCCCCAACACCTCAACAAAATTCCAACCATCATTAAAAGTGGCAGCTCAAGGAAATAAGGTGATGAGAAAACAATTAAATTATTGGTTATAAATCCAAGACGTATATTCTAGAAGTTAGCCCAAAATGCTGATTTTAAAAAGCAGCTGTAAAATTGTGTATGGGCTGAGTAAGGACATAAAAGGAAAGAACTGAAAGGTTAATGGATGACCTAGTTAAGAGTTGATGATTATAATTAAGTAAATAGTGACAAACATTTTCCACTGATTAGTCAGCTATAATGAAAGGGTACATATTTATGTTGACATGAAGAGAGTTAAAAGGTGATTAGTTTTTATTCTTAGTATATATTTGGAATTTATGTGCTTCTAATGGTTGAAGCGCAGTTCACTAATGCTTTTAAAAATGCATTAGTTGCTCAGAAATAGTTGTAAAGAGCAGTGCAGAGTACATGACAGATTGGGATGAAGCTAAATGTAAGTTATGGAGAAAAATCCCTGTGCTAACCTGATGAACCAAATATCTTGTTTTTAAGTTATAATTTTCTGTGATCCCAAGACTAGTGTGTACGTAGATTTCTTCTAGTTGCTACGATGTTTCAAACATTTATCGTGCCTAACTGGAAAGAGTTGAAATACATCAACAGGAACAGGAATTCCTGCTAATCCCCACCCATTAGAGACATATTTGTCAGCGATCTCAGCAGCATACGAAGGATTTTTTTAAAATCTCAGTTTATGTTACTGTAGAGCTAAATACACTGGCTGGTTGAATCTTTTAAACTTCCTTTTTATTTTTTCATGCATCACAGAAAGATAGATACAACCATCCAGAAACTAACTACTCATTTAAAATCTCAGCTACATCTTCTGGCCCCATACACAGATTACCACTTTCGTCCCTACTGGGTCCTACTCTTTCCCAAATTCTTTTCTTATCCCGAATATACTTATGAACTGCTTTTTTTTTGACATAATCTTACCTCCAGTTTTAATTTTGTCTTCTTTTTGCTGTCCTAATTTCTTTTACAAGCAACCCCGGCATTATCTATACTCCTCAAGGGCATCTGTTATTTTGAGCCTTCAATATGTACCATAAGCTTCCTTTCATTTCTTTACCCCATTCTGTACATCCTTGATATCCAGGATTCTCTGGAATTAATTGGTCTCACGCTTGACCTTTTATGGGAACATGTTGGCCCTGCACTGTCATTATATCACTAATCTGATGTGGATTTTTCTGTCACTAGCTGCTCCCAGTCCACTTTGTTCAAATCCTGTCCTATTAAAATCAGACTTCACCCAATTATATCCATTTCATCTTTGTCCTTATCCATAATTACCTCAAGTCCTACTGAATTATGGTCACTATCTCCGAAATGCTCCCCCACTGCCATATCTGGGCAGCACGGTGGCTCAGTGTTCATCACTGCTGCCTCACAGCGCCAGGGACCCAGGTTCGATTCCACCCTCGGGCAACTGTCTGTGTGGAGTTTGCACATTCTCCCTGTGTCTGCGTGGGTTTCCTCCGGGTGCTCCAGTTTCCTTCCACAGTCCAAAGATGTGCAGGCTAGGTGGATTGGCCATGCTAAATTGCCCATAGTGTTCAGGGATGTGTAGGGTTATAGCGGGATAGGTTTGGGTGGGATGCTCTGAGGTTTGGTGTAGACTTGTCGAGCCCAAGGGCCTGTTTCCACCCTGTAGGGATTCTATGATTGATTCTATGACCTACCACTTGCCTGGCTTTGTTCACTGTACATTTGCAGGAATTGCTCTCCCTTATCTTTGCAGCAGAAATAAACAGCCTTCTGACAAAGAAAGCTAGTGAGTAGACATTCTTTTTCAATCCTCACCACTACCATTCTGCTGTTCAGTAACTTGCCCTCTTCCTTGCCGAGCTTCTTCCATCAAGCTAACTTAGAAGTTAAAATGTGTCACATATGGTGAATGTAGTTCAGAAGTGGAAATTACTCATGAAAAAAAAGAGCCAAGTCAAAAATCTACCTATCGAAATGAGTTGTGTAAATGGTATATGATTGTGCCAACAACAAGTAAGCCAGCTAATATAATGTTAATTCAGGAAGAATATTTTATTCTATAAGATTGCATAAAGCTTGGACATTTGTATTTATTGCCTAACATGACATGTTAGAATTGTAATATGCATATCCTAAACTTAGAATATATATTAACGATGAACAAGAGCTCATTTCATAAATATTTTGCTGCTGCAGGTAATGTACTGATAGTAAAAGGAAAGCATGTTTCAAATTACTTTGTTATAGTCAATAAATATAGTTTTGTTTTTGAGTTTAGCAATTTAGAGGAAGACAGTCAATGCATCTGCATCTTTGACAAATATCAAGGAAAGTAACGTGCTTCAGCTTTCCCAAGGAAGAAAGTCAGCAGACACAGAAAGAGAAGACTACCTGATTGTTCAGTTTCTGTGGCTCTGTTTTTCTTCTAATGGTACATCTGCTTTTTGTTTAATATTTTACATTTGCTCCAGCTTCCTCTGCATTTACTTCAAAAGATTCAATAGCAATCTAACTCACCTATTTGGATTCAATATCTTTTTATTAAGTTACAGACTCAAATCAACAATCGCATGCTCAAAAATTTGAGTGCTACCTTTAAAACTTGCAGCAATTAAAAAATCCATTCGATCTGTGGATACAACAGTAAAACACCGAGGGGCCTGTACGTACATTTCTTCAAATTTTGTGAACGCTTTCTTTTGATTGTCCCAAATATAAATCTGAGAGAAAGTGTAGTCACTTCCTACAACCAAATAGTGTCGATCATTGAATGAAAATGGCTGCAGTATCATTGATCCTCTTGAAGGAAGATCTTGAACTTCAACAAAATGTGTTATATTCCATTTCAAAATTTTAGAATCTCCAATAAATTTTGTCAGACAGATGAACAAATCATTTTTAATTCTGAAACTTTCCACAGCTATGACATCCTCCATGTGTTGCATTGTACTTTGTTGAACAAACTGTTTTGTTTTTTTGTTCCATTCAAAGATGGCTGGGTCTTGTGACTGACTGGTTAATATCAAACATGATTTCCCATCAATGTTGACATATTCTGAGTCTGTGTCTCTGAACCATTTGTGCAGAGTCTGATAAGGATAAAATCCTTTGCCATTCCATTTGTATATTGTTGATAACCCAGCTTTTGAACTGTCGACTATAATAAAGAACCATTCGTTTTCAATCTGGAATGCCTCAATATCATTCGGCTTTGAAATTTGAGAAACTTTGATCTCCTGAAATTTCACAAATTTGGTCCAGCTCTCACCGTGTTTGTAAATGACAGAATTACCAAAGAGTTGTGCAACTATCACAAAGACTTGTTCTTGAATTGATATTGCTTTGCATCCAACTGTGGACTGACCTGTAAAAGTAGCACAGAACTGTTATCTAACACTATATTCATCTGGTAAGGCCATGTAATGACAAATGCACACAGCTCAATCGATGTGAAAGTCATGTAAAATGAACACTTCTTCCAAAAAGGGCATTTTTACCTAAAGAGGCTGTATGCCAGAGAGAGAGAAAGAAAGACGTGGAAGAGGCTGCTCAGTGCAACATCAAATTGCAGTTATATATATCTTTAATGCAGTAAAGCATCCCAATGTGCTTTTCAGGAACAAATCTGACACCAAGTTATACAAAACTATGTTAGGACAAATAGCTAAAAACTTAGACAAAGAGGTCAGTTTTAAAGGCCAATTTAAAAACAGAAGTAGAGGTAGGGGCATGAAGGTTTGGGAGACCAGCTGAAAACACAACTATCAACAAGACAGCAATGAAAATTGGGAATGCAGAAGTGGTCCGAATTGGAGGAACATGAAGATCCTTCAAACGTAGTAGGGCTGGAGGAAGAGTGGTTATGGAGATAGGGAGGGAGGAGAACATGGTTATGCTTAGACAGACAGTGCTTTCGTCCCATATTTTAGTTCATCTTTTTTTAAAAAATCAGTTGAATTTTGAAGCAAACAGCCTGTAATTGTCTGATTATCGCATAGTGTATTAACAATCTGAATTGTAACAGCTATTAAACATTGTAAAATGCAGATGGAAAAACACACACACACACACAATTCTGAAAGGATGAGCCTTTTCCCTTCACCATTAAAACTGTCTCATCCCTAACCCATTTCCTTAGATCAGCTGTCATTACTGAGGCATGGTGATTCATACCATTGAGACAGATCCAGCCAGTATCTGGCTGCAACATTACAGTGTTACTGAAACACCATTGCTGCAACACTAGAATAAGTGGTTGGCAGTTAAAGGAGCAGAAGGGCCCAAAAGACCAGTAAATCAGCAGAGACCTAGGCCTACAAAAGAAGGCAAGTAGGCATTAGTTTGAAGGGAGTGAAGTCTTGTGGGGACCAAAGGCCATTACCATCACTTCTGACTTTTCTGGTGCTTTTCTACAAAGTAATGCTAACCTGAGCAGACGCCAGGACATTCCAATTATGCAACCTAAAATTTTGTTGCACTTCTTTCATGACTTTATTGACTGGTACTCACATTCAGAGGGAATTATGGTTTTTGAGCTCCTGGACCTTTGTACTATTTATGTGACAAAGTCTGCGTAACAATTTTTTTTTCACCATCAGTCTGTTGATGTGTTACAGTGAGGGTTTTGTCAAATTGTTGAAACTATTACTGAACTTTTGCTCATTTTCTAGGTTGCCCTGTTTGTTGTTAAATCACGTTGACATCGTGGGAAGTTATAGGCTGCATTTCATATTCACATTTTGGTTTGCTCACAATATCAGGTGTAAGGCAGGCCTCCACATCAAACAACTTGGGAAACCCACATTAATGACCCTCATGAGTATTTAGCATGCGCTACATTTGCACCTCCTGGCTACCTACCAGTTGTAAAATACCACTGACAGGCTTCAGCCTCAGTTACATCTTCACTCTCAGAGACACAGAATACAATATAATGGGAGAATCTCTAAATGAGATGGCAAAATTAATTAAGAATGAGTGTGAATTATAAATAAAACAGTAAAAATGTTTGTAGTAATGTCTACATCACTTTATAATAATTTTCCACAAATATACAATCCAAGAAGTGTAGAACCAGAAAGACTAAAATTAATTAGTTTGGCTTTATAATTTGACATTCTTTCATTTTCATTTCCCACCTGATTCTACTCCACTCAGAGGTTAGAATTCTTGTTTGGCTTGCTACTGACATAGATTTTTGGTTCATTATCTTCATTTGTGTGTAATTATTCAGTCTTAAAAATTTAATCGTATTGAAATAGTCCTTTAGCAGTTCCTGCCCCATGGCTACTATTTTTCTGACTGAATCACAGATAATGCAAAGATGACATAATCAAATCCAGTGCATTGGATATACTGATGTAATACACACAACCTTACTTTTACAGTCAAGAGTTAGCTAGCAAAATATTTAATATAGTGGTACACAAGGTCACATCACTGGCTTATAACTTGTACAAATCTCCACAAATGCATTATGAATGACCAGCCTAGCACAATGGACTAGAACAATGTATTCAAGACTCATGTAAATTCTGAACTGAAATATGATATCATTAGCATAACCCTGACATCCCCTTCTAAAGCTGGCAATCGACTTGGAAGTACAGTGCAATGGACACCAAAGCTCCTTTATACATCACCAACATGGGCTTCCTTCATGGATGACTCCACAGAGCAAATGGCTGAAGACTTAATCCAATCCTGAACTCACTTGATTTTCATGTATGTGGACTTTCCAATAACGATAGATGGATATCAGGATCTGAGACCCTCCTCGTTTTTTTTTCCTAACCTGGACAGCCAGCACCAGTTGTGGGGCTTTCACTGGTACCTGAGCTGAAATCAACAATTCAGTACACAGCTGGGATCAACTCAGCTCTCGGCAGAGATCAACTCAACAAATAGCAAGGACCAACTAAGCACATGGAAGGAATCAACCCAATACATGACAGGGATCAAGTAAATACATGGCAGGAGCAACTCACAGCACAGCAGGGATCAACTCAGTACATAGCAGGGGTCAACTCTGAACCTATCTATCAAGACAAGAAAGTATTTCATTACTTGTGAAATGTTTCAGTATATCTCTAAGAGATGTGACAAGGTGCTTTCCTTCCTTCTCTATTTATATGGCTGAGGACCAGATAACACCATATGGTCACGTAGGACATTAAAATATTAACAGGGATTCAAATTTAAAAATGATAAAAATTATGCACAAATACTTTTAATTGCCAGTAGTTAGATTCATACGTACCAGTTATATTATCATAACTTCTAAAATTCATCTCAATATAGTTCCATTCAAGCACTCTGCAGTTTCCCTCATTAGGTTCGGCAATTGCTACATACACATCATCCTTAAAAGAGAATGTGTTCACAGATATAGACTCATACGGTAAGATCTGGTGCAGCACAAACTCTGCAAATAAAAACAGTTTTTTACTCGTCATTAGTGTATAAATATCACCATAACTGATTTATCTTTTATCTACTGAATCATTAATAGCCTCCAGTGGTAAGCACATAATTGCTTTCACCATTTTAATGTTAACTCAGCCTTCTTGGAATTCCTATGTCAAGGTCATCAGAGTCAGATTTCACTTTTTGGAAGCTCTGTGTGGTTTAGAAGCCACAGCTATCACATGCTGGTTTTCTGATTTGAGCTTGCTACCATTTTGCTCCTTATCTCCTCAGTAATAGCCCAGGAATGTTATTACTCTCATTCTCTTTGATACACAACAGACATGATTCATGGTTGTATTTTCCTTTTTAGTCTTTTAAGGTTAATTAATGTACACAAACATAAGAATCAAACATAATTTGAAAAAAATAATTTAACTTCATAACCTTTGGATAATAATTCAAAAAATAAATAAAACAAGAAGGTTTGATAATTTGGTTTGGAGGAAGACTCGTAAAATAAAATCATATTCATCTTAAAGATACTGCGCAGTTTCTGATGAGCTTTGCTCAGTCAGACAAAGAGCAAAACAAGCAATAATAAATTTTCTGAAGAAGGGTCTCGGCCTGAAATGTCAGCTTTCCTGCTCATCTGATGCTGCTTGGCCTGCTGTGTTCATCCAGCTCTACATCTTGTTATCTCAATAATAAATTTGTGATCTTTATTTCATGCAGAACTAATATTACACCAAAGTTGCACTTTAGAATTAAGATCAAAATTTGCTAGCTGATACGTTTTTTGAACTTGTTTTTAGTAACATTCTGTCAAGGCATTGATTGTTTACAACTACATAAAAGGAAACAATTACAGTATACAAATCAATGCTAACAATAGGGAAGCAGAATGAAAATATTTGTGGAGTGATGTTTATCTTTAAAGGGAACTGACAATATCTGGGCTACACCATAAGTATTTTTGTGCTTTGTTTCCATGTACATACCTTCATTTATTCAAAAATTTGAGAAGTCAGAATAAAGTTTTCTGGCAGCATTCATTTTCTGGCAGCAAGTAATAAAAATAGAAAATGCTGGAGAAACCCAAGTGAGTTAACATTTCAAGTCCAATATAACTCTATCACTCAGAAGAGAAGAGTTATGTCAGATGCAAAACATTAACCCTGTGTCTCTCACCCAAATGCTGCCAGGCCTGCTGAGTTTTTCCAGCCTTTTGCTTTATATTTCAGATTTGTAGTATCTGCAGTATTTTACTTTGATTTTCATGGTATTACACACAGTTTTATAATGCACAGATTTTGTTTTGCAAAGTTTTCAAAAGATACTAGAATTTTAGTGTCACACAAAAGTCAGACAATTTCTAATGTTATATTTCAAGAAAGTCAATGATCAAGCAACTAAAAGAGTTACACTGAGGACACTGTCCTGAAGCATTCATGCATCAATGCCTTGGGCTGAAATGATTGACCTCTAACAATTACAACCAATTCCTTTGTGTGAGATATCACACGCCAAACAATGGAATAGTTTCTTCCTGATTCCCATTGACTTCAATTTTGTCAGACCTCAGTAATATCACATTCAGTCAAACACTGCCTTGACATGCAATGACAGTCACTCTCACCTCTCCTCTGGAATTCAGCTCTTTGTCCATGTTTGGTTTAAGGCTGTAACAAGATCAAGAGCTGAATGGCCCTAGCAGAACCCAAACTGGGCACGAGTGAACAACATATTGCTGAGTGAATGCTGATTGATAGCACTGTCGAGCAACCCAGTCAACAACTTTTCTCATGATCAAGAGCTGACTAATCATAGAATCCCTACTATGCAAAAACAGGCCATTTGGCCCATCACATCCACACAGACCCTCCGAAGAGCATCCCACCTAAACCCAGCCCCCTGACCTATCCCTGTAACCCTGAATTTCCCATGGCTACTCCACCTGGCTTGCTCATCCCTGAACACTGTGGGGCAACTTAGCATGATCAATCCACCTAAACTGCACATCTTTGGACTGTGGGAGGAAACCAGAGCACTCGGAGGAAATCCACGCTGACACAAGCAGAATGTGCAAACTCCACAACGATAGTCACCCGAGGGTGGAATCGAACCCAGGTCCCTGACACTGCGAGGCAGCAGTACTAACCACTGACCCACCGTGCTGCAATAATTGGTCAAATTGGATTTGTCCTGCTTTTTAGTTTTTAGCTTTTTGGCTTTCTAGCTTGATTGAGGGCATGGTCATTTTGAAGCACAAGCCATCAGTGTTATTACTGAGTTCTTGTCAAGACTTAGACTTTGAACTATCCAGTTCCTTCAACTATTTCTCAATGTCATGTGGAGTGAATCCAGTTGGCTGAAGACTGAGGATCTCCTACTGGGACCTCAAGAAAAGACTAATGTGAATCATCGACTTGTCATTTCTGGCTGAATCAGGTTGCAAATGCTTCAACCTTGTCTTTCACTGAGGAGGAGGCAAGAGGTGGACCCCCAAAACAGGCAGTCAACATCACCTAAAAGAGCGAGCAAAAGAAGGACCCCAAGACGTGGAGTCAGCATTACGTAGAGGAGCAGACAAGATGAGGATCACAAGTCAGGGAGTTAGTATCACTGAGAGGACAACTCTGATGCAGTAACCAACGTCACCTCGAGGACTGAACAAGGACTTCTGGTCAGGCAGACAGCATTATCAAGAGGAACAAGTGAGAAAAGAACATTGTACCAGGCAGTCAGAGACAAAGCTAGATTTATTGCAGTTGATCGGAATTAGTTTTTGCTCAGTTACAGAGAAATTAGCTATCTGTTTGGTAGTCTCTGGCAAGTGATTAATGTCTTTTCTATTCTTAAATTTATCATAGCATAAGAATTGGTGGTAAGGTTAATAAATGTATAAAATGCATCATAAATAAGAGAACCATATAATTAAATACTTATTAAAGTTGGCAGTTCAGGTGGTATGCCAAGGCAGTAGTGTATGGGAGTTCCTGGATACCACTGTGATTAAGGGAAAACACGTCTGCAGTAACTGATTGAAGTTCAAGCAGCTTTGGCACAGAGTTTATGAGCTGGAGGCTGAACTACAGACACTGCACTGCATAGGGATAGGGAAAGTTTCATTATATGAAACCAGTCACAACACTTAGGTAAGAAGGTGTAGAACTGGATGAACACAGCAGGCCAAGCAGCATCAGAGGAGCAGGAAAGCTGACGTTTCGGGTCTGGATCCTTCTTCAGAAAAACACTTAGGAGTGGGTTTTCTAATGAGGTCAGTGGTCATTGACACTGGGTTCATTGGTGTGACTTTGAGTTAGACAGACTAGGGCAACTAGAGGGCAAGAGTTCAGGAGCATCAGCCTCTGCAATTGTCCAATAGGTTTGAGGTCCTCTTGGGTTGAATGAGCAGATTGACTATGGCATTGCGGTAAATGAAGCTTTTGAAGGGAGAAAGCAACAAGGAGTGCATTAGTAGCAGGAGGAGATAGTATCATGAGGGGTATATGACTCCATTCTTCACTGCATAGAGCAAGGGTCCAGAGAGCTATGATTTATCAGAGTTCAGGGCAAATGCTTGGGGTTGGAAAGGAATATGCAGTGGGAAGGAGAGGATCCAGTGATCTTGGCCCGTGTAGATATTTTTTTATTCGTGGTTGCTGGCTGGCCAACATTTATTGCCCGTCCCGAGTTACCCTTAATGTGGTGGTGGTGAGCTGCCTTCTTGAACTACTGCAGTCCATGTGCAGTGGGTTGACCCGCAATGCCTTTAGAGAGGGAATTTCAGGATTCTGACCCAGTAACAGTGAAGGAATGGCGATATATTTTCAAGTCAGGATGGTGAGTGTTTCAGAGGGGAACTTGCAGATGGTATGAGATCATGTATCTGATACCCTTGTCCTTCGAGATGAAAGTGGTCTTGGGTTTGACAGGTGCTGTCTAAGGATCTTTGGTGAATTTCTGCAGTGCATCTTGTAGACAGTACACAGTGCAGCTACAAGCTGGTAGAGGGAGTAGGTGCTTGTGGATATGATGCCAATCAATTGGGCTGCTTTGTCCTGGATGGTATCAAGTTTCTTGAGTGTTCTTGAAGCTGCACCCATTCAGGGAAGTGGGGAGTATTCCATCAACATCCTGACTTATAGATGATGAACAGCCTTGGGGAGTGAGGAGGTGAGTTACTTGCCACATATTCCTAGCCTCTGCTCTGCTGTTGTAGTCACTGTGTTTATGTGGTAAGTCCAATTGAGTTTCTGGCCAATGATAACCCCCAGGATGTTGACAGTGGATAGTAACACTATTGAATGTTAAGGGATGGCTGTTAAATTGTTTCTTATTGAAGATGGGCATTGCCTTGCAGTTGTGTGGTGTGAATGTTACTTGCCACTTGTCAGCCCAGGTCCAGATCTGATTGAATTTGAACAGGGACTGCTTCAGTATCTGAGGAGTCACAAATGGTGCTGAATCTTGTGCAATCATTGGCAAACATTCCCACTTCTGACCTTATGATGGAGGGAAGGTCATTGATGAAGCAGATGAAGATGGTTGACCCTAAGACACTACCCTGATGAACTCCTGGATCTGAGATGACTGATCTCTAACAACCACGACCATCTTCATATATGCCAGTATGACTCCAACCATTGGAGTGTTTGCCCCCTGATAACTATTGATTCCGATTTTGCTAGAGTGTCCTTGATGCCACAATCTGTCAAATGCAGCCTTGATGTCAAGGGCTGTCACTCTGACCTCACCTCTGGAATTCGGCTCTTTTGTTCATGTTTGAACAAAGGTTGCAACGAATTCAGGAGCTGAGTCGCCCTGGTATCACTGACCAGGTTATTGCTGAGTAGGTGCTGCTTGACAGCACTGTTGATGACACCTTCCTTCACTTTACTAATGGTTGAGAGTAGACTGATGGGTCAGCAATTGGCTAAGTTGGATTTGTCCTGTTTTTTGTGTATAGTATATACCTGGGCTATTTTCCACATTATCAGGAAATACCAGTGTTGT